TTTCCTACACTCTATTATGACCACTGTTTTAATTGTTTTGATTGTTGTACTCCTTTTCTGCATAACCCTATGTATTGTGCAATGCCCAGTTAATGTAGCTATCTCTTGTGTGCACATTTGATACACAGCACCAGGAAAGGTCCCCAGTCAATTCCTAGATCCTAAACCCTCTAATCAGGCCATTGGGTACTTTTAAATTCGCCCAAGGTGGGCAAGAGGTACTGGCAAGCCACCATCTTGCATTCCTGGGACGTGGTGTGTCGTATCAGGGGGTGGAATGTGGCCAGACAGCCCGCCTCCATCACATCCATCTTATTTGCCTCCCTGAAGCATACAGAACAGAGAAGGAGCAATAAAATCAGCATAGTCTATGCTGGCTCATCTGATCCTGAGAAGCTGAAACATAGATATGAGGAGAGATCAGGATATGCGAGACTGCCACCGGCTGGCACCTATGTTGATTCGAACACACACACAGTCCCTGGAAGAGGAATTTCCCACTGAGAAAAGAATCCCCAGTAATTCCAATTTAGTTATCTCTCTTACAAGTGTAAATTAAGTTCACAACTCCCTTGTAAGAACTGGTCTCACAGCAGACAGACCAGCATCAATTGGCAATTAAGATAAGAAAGAGAAATACGTGACCCCATGAGTATAAAAGATGGGCCCAGCACACACTCACTTTGAGTGTCATTCTACCCTCTACCTGCTGGTCGGGTTAGGTGTTTGACCTCCCGAGGTTCTATGGGGACGCCCACCTCGTATTTTCGTCTTTCCTAGGAATTGAGGGACCGGCCCTGGCCTGACACGCTGGAGTCGAGAGGCACAGAAGGGGGTAAAAATTGTACCTGGATGTGGTCCTCTGTCTTAAGTGTACACATAGAAAGAGTAAGCTGTTACTTGGTCCCTCTTGGGAGGAGAGGAGTCTTTTGGTAGGAGCCAACATGGGCCAGAAAACACTTCAGATGTAACTCACCATTGTTCCTAGTCAGAGTGGGCCCATCCTGAGGTGTATGAAGAGAATCTGCCAGAAAGCCATGAAGGGCAAGATGAGAAGTCCTCAAATTTTCATCACAGGTAAAAGGAAAGGTCCCATTCTGAGGAAGCGCTAGTGGGTGGGAACGGGGTGGCCCATGCATATAGGCCGTCGCCTAGGGCGCTGTAGAAACCAATTCATATTAGCTAGAAGCCATTCTGTATAACAAAAGCCATTTCAGTTTCTTGTGTCTGCACGTATACTAGAGGGAGTGAACTGGCCTTCACCGAGGTGGGGAGAGGCCAGAAGGATGCGCTGTTGGAATGTGTTAATGAACTATTTTGAGCTGAAGCTCGAACTCCCTCTAAACCTGTTTCTTTCTCTGCTGATAATAATTCCTCTTTGAAGTTCACTTTGATTTCTTGCCCTGACATCAGCCTTGTTTGGTTAAGGGTATAAAATACTAGGATTGCCAGCCCTGCTCCCTTCCCAGCCTGTCCCCCCTCCCCCCCCATGAAGTGTGTCTGGTATTTTTTTTAAGACTACCTGGTAACCCTACGTGTGGGGCTGAGGGAGGCCCGGCCGACAGGCCTGAGAGCTCCTTTATTGCATTTAAAGCTCAATAATCGCCACGGTTTTGTGCTGGCTGAGAGTCACTCTGGGCTGGAGAATAGGGTGGTACTATTCCCTCTGGCGTGAAGGCCCTGGGGGACCAGAGGGAGTAGACCCTCCTGAAGCGGCTCAAGGCAGAGGCAGACAGCTGAGAGGTGCCATTCCAGAGGCGGAGGGGTGGACCCCCAGGTGAGAGGGGACTCCCTGAGAACGGGCTGAAGCCCTGGAGTGGGGATTCCGCCCAAGGACCGCATGGGCCTAGTATGGGCACGACCTGTAAGCCGTGACGACATGGTAGCAGAGGATGGTTTGGGGGTGCACCCGGTAGCCCACTGACAGCGGGCACAGGCACTTTGCAGTGAGTGGCTGCCAGTGACAAACGAGGGTGTTGAAGGAACCAGCAGGGAAATGGCCTATGCCCAGCTCCATAAGAGTGATCTGTGTGGGGGAACAGTGCTGAGCATGGGGAGGCTCACTAAGGAGCAGCTGATGGCTCATCTTGTGCAGAATGATGGGTCAGAGCTACAGGCTCCTGGTCCTTGTGGGGTTCGCGGGATGCCCAGAGAGCCAGGGAGCAGCCCAGAGTCTTATCAGAGCCTACGCCCCAGTCAGCACAGTGGAGCCCCAACCTGGGTTCTCCCCGAGGGAGGTGCAGAGGCTGGAGCTGGAGCTGAAAGTGAAGCAGCAGAGCTGGAGGAGCAGAGGCTGGTGGAGAGAGAGAGCGAGAGGACCCTGTCCAACAGCGGAAGCATGAGCTGGCGGAGAGATGGGCCAAGAGGGCCTACCCAGGGGTAAGTGGGAAAGGGCCCCGAGATGGCAGAGCTGGGGGAAGCTGGACTCCACGCTGCAACCCCAGTTTAGGGAGGGGGATGACATGCGTGTCTTCCTCACACCCTATAAAAGGGGTTATAATCTGCACCAGATTAACTTGGCAGACAGGCTCCACTGTCTGACCCCCCTGCTCCAGCCCAAAGCCATACCAACATTCGGCCACGTGGACGGGGTTGAGACCAGGGAGTATGAGCTGCTCAAAAGGCCTGGTTGCAGAGGTCTGAGCTAACCCCTGAGGCCAACCAGACACGGTTCCAGGGTGTACACAAGTCCCCAGGTGCCACGTACAAGGGGGCTGCCCACCTGCTGGGGGAATATACCCACAAGAGGGGAAAGGGTGCTGGGACCACCACTACAGCGGACGTGTATAACCTGGTGTGGCTGGAGCAGCTGAAGGACATAGGCCCTCCAGACCTAAAGGTGACCTGATCAGTGCGAGGTCACTGGCAGATGAGTTTGTGGCCAGCAGCTTAGGGGCAGGTGGGAGATCCACATCAGGGTCTCAGAAGGGGAGTCACCTGGAGACCCCTCAAAGGTGGGACTTCAGGAAGCCCAGCTCAGGGGGCCCCCAGAATGCCAGGGCAGGGCAGGAGCGGCTGTACTTTATCCATCGGGTGAATGTAGGACAGGCCCTTCATCAACCAATACATCATCCCTATTGAGGTGGGAGGGAGTAGTGTCCAGGGGCTCTGAGACACGGCCATAGAGGTGACACTGGCATGACCTGAGGTGCTGGGCCCAGATCAGCTGGTGCCCAATGCATGCCTGATGGCCGCAGAGGTGACACCGGCATGACCTGAGGTGCTGGACCCAGATCAGCTGGTGCCCAATGCATGCCTGACCCTGCGGTTAGTGTTCAGACACCCTGTCAAGGTGCCTGTAGCGAGGATATACCTAAAGCGGAGGTGCTAATGGGTAATAATCTGGAGGACTGGCCTTTGGAGTGCCCTACTCCTCACCCAGAGTCACAGCCAGTTGCGGCATCCCCCCTGGAAGGGGGAGTGGAGCACTGAGGGTGGCGCTAGACATGGATAGGCCAGAGCCTCTCTCCCAAGGTGGGGAAACTGAGTCATAACCCGCCAGGGCCATCCATACCCACCAGCCTGGCAGCAGAATTGCAGATGGAGCTGCACAGGTATCCCTCCTTGAAGAATCCCTGGAGAGGACTGCAGGGAGGGGTTCCTGTGGGAGAAGGGAGCCCTGTACCAGGAATGGACTGGCCCAGAGCGAACTGAATCCAGGGAAGTGAGGAGGCAGCTGGTGGTTCCCCAGAGGTGCCGCCAGCTGCTGTACTTGGCCCACGAGATCCCCTTTCGGGGCATCAAGGAGTCCATCGCACCGAGCAGAGGCTGCTGCAGAACTTTTACTGGCCGGGGGCCTTTGACGCTGTTCACCCGCACTGCGGGACCTGTGACTCCTGCAGGGGAGGCAGAAGGCCCAGGATAAGCATAAAGCAGCTTTGAGGCCCCTGCCCATCATAGAGGAGCTTTTCCAGAAATGGCGATGGATATTGTGGGGCCCTTTAACAGAGCGACCCGGACGGGGAAGAAATACATCCTGGTGGTGGTGGACTTTGCCACCCGCTACCCCAAATAAATTTGAGACAGAGGAAACGCCAGGGGGCGCCGCAAACACCCGTTGCTTCTGCGCAGGCGCTTTAGTCTCCACACACACACACACACACTCTCTTTCTCTCTCTTCCCCCCTC